AAAATTCTAAAAAGTAAAAAAATAAAAAAAAGAGAGAGCGAGAGCGAGAGAGAGGACAGAGACAGACGTAGAGAGAGACAAAGGCAGATAGAGACAGGAGACTTGAAAGGGATCTTCCTACCACGCGAGTTCTGGATGCTGGAGGCCCAGTTATCAGTGGGACATCTTCCTTTCTCCCCAAATGGCTAGATCACAGGAGCCATGGAGCTGGCTGCCTCTTGAAGAAGGGCTGTTCTGGGAGGAGGAGAGGGGATTATTAACAAGATAAAGCGCTAGGTAGGAGGGGCCAAAGGGCCCTGTAAAATGCCTCTCCTTAAAAAAATTCTAAAAAGTAAAAAAATAAAAAAAAAGAGAGAGCGAGAGCGAGAGAGAGGACAGAGACAGACGTAGAGAGAGACAAAGGCAGATAGAGACAGGAGACTTGAAAGGGATCTTCCTACCACGCGAGTTCTGGATGCTGGAGGCCCAGTTATCAGTGGGACATCTTCCTTTCTCCCCAAATGGCTAGATCACAGGAGCCATGGAGCTGGCTGCCTCTTGAAGAAGGGCTGTTCTGGGAGGAGGAGAGGGGATTATTAACAAGATAAAGCGCTAGGTAGGAGGGGCCAAAGGGCCCTGTAAAATGCCTCTCCTTAAAAAAATTCTAAAAAGTAAAAAAATAAAAAAAAGAGAGAGCGAGAGCGAGAGAGAGGACAGAGACAGACGTAGAGAGAGACAAAGGCAGATAGAGACAGGAGACTTGAAAGGGATCGTCCTACCACGCGAGTTCTGGATGCTGGAGGCCCAGTTATCAGTGGGACATCTTCCTTTCTCCCCAAATGGCTAGATCACAGGAGCCATGGAGCTGTCTGCCTCTTGAAGAAGGGCTGTTCACACGAGTTCTGGATGCTGGAGGCCCAGTTATCAGTGGGACATCTTCCTTTCTCCCCAAATGGCTAGATCACAGGAGCCATGGAGCTGTCTGCCTCTTGAAGAAGGGCTGTTCTGGGAGGAGGAGACAAGTATAACTTTTTATAACTGTTTTCATTAAGTATAACTTCTGTTGTGGTGTATTATTTATTAAGAGAGAGGAAGAATGGCCTGGTTTTCCGTTTTCTACACAGTAGAACAGAATAGTGATGAACGCTACTTATTTCTAAAATCTGGTAACTAGAATGACTAATTCATTTTATTCTGAATGTCTTACTTTTAAGATGTGTGTATAATGTTGACTAACTTTTCGTCATTCAAGCAAAATTCTTGTGTTGAAGATTCTAAAGTGTTTTTTTTGTTTTTTTTTTGTTTTTTTTTTCCCACTATATTTACAGTGTTTCTCTGTGTGTCACAGAACAAGACGGACAACAGCAGGGAATGTCTATTTGTTAGTTTATTTGTTTAATGGTAAAGACTTTCAGCATCTTTAAAACAGAGGGTTGTGGGGGACTGGCAGGTTGCGTGGTGGTTAAAACTGCTGGACTCCCACATGGCCTATCATGACTCAAGTCCCGGGTCTGGTGGTTTCCTTTCTCACTTTCTCTCTTTCTCTGTCTCTCTCTGGTCAAATAGGATAGGTTTCCAATAATGGAAAATATTAATAATAAATAAAATTAAAACAGTAATAAATAAAGTTAAAATAAAATAATTCTTTTTTTTTTTTTGGAGAGGTTTTTGCTATAGGGCACGTGCGCTCGCCATACAGAGAGAGAGACTCAGAGACAGAAAGCGAGAAATCACCCCTCAGGGAGGATGGCCACGCTGCAATTCCTTCTCCTCCATTCTCCTCTCAGGATCTTGGGCACGCATACACACCCGCCTGGCGTAAGTTTAAGCCACCGGGTCCGGGACTTGAACTGCAGTCGACTCTGTGGGAGTCCAGCGACATAGCCATTATGCTAACTGCTGGTCCCAAAATAAAATAAATCTTTAAAAAAGCAAGATAGTATTGTAAACTTAAATTCTATAATAACATTTTTCTCAGATCATTCAAGGGTATTGTTCCATAGGTCTCATAAATAATTGAAGAGCTGAAAGAGCTCCATAAATTTATAAAAGGAAGAATAACCACCATACATTTTAAATCAAGAGATGCATAAACTCATAGAGAATTGCAAAGCGAGTATAAGATTTTGTAACATTGAAAAATCCTGTATGATACAGAATTTCTGACTACTAGAACAAATACTTCCTGGTTACTAAACTACATTGCTATAATTTTAATAATAATATCCCATAGGAAATACATCTTTATCATACACTTTAATAAATGCATGAAGATTGATATGCCAATAATGAAAATATACATTTCATATAAAATACCCAAACTGATGGGCTGCTCAAAAGTTTCTATCTCATGGGAACCAGTGGATGGTGTAATGGCTACATCACTGGACTTCCATGTAGTTGACCACAGTTTGAGTCCCAGACCCGGGTGGCTTAAACTCATACCAAGCGTGTGTGCGTGCATGCCCAAGATCCCAAGAGGAGAATGGAGGAGAAAGGACTGCAGCGTGGCCATCCCCCCTGGGCGGGGGTGATTTCTCGCTTTCTGTCTCTGTCTCTCTCTTTCTGGCGAGCACACACACTGTATAACAAAAACCTCCTCAAAAAAAAAAAAAAAAGTTTCCATCTCAGAAGATAGCATTAGAATTAGAACATTAGATTAGGAAGCTGTTGATATGATGAGAAAATAGAGACATATTTAAGGCTATGATTTGATAAAGTACATCTATTTTTTATTAGGCCTGTATTTATCCAATCTGTTTCATAGATCCATAAGGCCTAGAAAACCTAAAAGGAAAAAAGATGAATCCACAAAGATGTATTTATGAAATCTGCCCATTTCCAGGAAAACCAAGTGACGATCGAAGCCCCAAATGCTTGTAGGTGAACCCGTCCACTTCACCTGGTGGTCAGTCCTGCAAAAACCTTTAATCCTGTGTGCAGAGCAGCAGCTGTGTGATCAGCTCCCAGGTGCAGACCGCTCTCCTGTGGCCCGCGAGCCCACGTGGAGAGCACACCAGCAGTCTTCCCCACCTGCTTCCCTTTGCACAACGGCAGCCGAGCTGCACTCCGCACTACACAAGTCTGCCTGTAAGTGGGCTCTCATTTCCAAAATGGACTGAATAATCGACAAGAAAAAGGATCTTAAAAACTAAAACTATGATGGGACCAGCAGTTGGCGTAATGGCTATGTCGCTGGACTCCCACGTAGTCAGCCGCGGTTCTCATCCTGGACCCAGTGGCTTAAAACTCACGCCGGGCGCGTGTGCGTGTGTGCCCAAGATCCCGAGAGGAGAATGGAGCAGACGGGATTGCGGCGTGGCCATCCCCTCTGGGGGGTGATTTCTCACTTTCTGTCTCTCTGTCTCTCTCTGTCTGTCTGGCGAGCGCACGCGCCCTATAGTGAAAACCTCTCAAAATAAATAAATAAATAAATAAATAAATAAATAAATCTATGATGGGACCAGCAAATGGCAAAATGGTTACATCGCTGGACTCTGACATAGTTGACCACTGTGTGAGTCCCAGACCCGGCGGCCTAAAACACCTTGGGTACATGTGCAAGCATGCCCAAAATCCCAAGAGGAGAATGGAGGAGAGGGGATTGTGGTATGGCCAGCCCCCTGGAGTAGGGGGAGTGATTTCTCACTTTCTGTTTCTCTCTGTCTCTCTGGCAAGTACAGAGTCTATAGCAAAACTCTCTCTTACAAAAATAAGTAAATAAATAAATAAAATAAAACTATGGCAAGCAAATTTTAAAGACAGCCATCTGGCAGGTGGTGTGGTGGTTAAAGGTGCTGGATTTCCACATGCCGACTGCGGTTTGAGTCCTGGACCCGGTGGCTTGCTCTCTCACTTTCCTTTTCTCTCTCTCTGTCTCTGGTCAAATTTTTTAAAATAATAACGAATGCAATTAAATACCTCTTTAGAAAAGGAGAGTGAGGCAATCATCGTATGTCCTCAAACAGCAGAGTCATAGCTACGGTGACTGCCATCGCAGATGGATAATAAAACGGGAAGAGCATGGGCAGCAGGCAGAGTGCTGGTTAAGACTCTGGGCTCCCTCCTGGTTACCGAAGTTTGACTCCCGGACCCAGCAGCTTGAAAATCACACGGGAAGGAAAAAAAAAGAGAAAATAACACAGAGAGTGTGTGTGTGTGTGTCTGCCCAAAATCCTGAGAGGAGAATGAAGAACGGATTGCAGTGTGACCATCCCCCCAATTTCCCACTTTCCCCCTCTCTCTGTCAAGTCAAAAAAATAAATAAATGAGTAAATAAAAGGAAAAGCGATGCAAATCCTGGTGACCAATCATAAGTGGTTCCAAACACGGATGAGATATTTGTTCTCACAGTGCCGGAACTCACTTGGAAGTTCGATGGGTTGATATGGAATCTAGGATTAAGTACACCGGGCCAGAGTAGCTAAGGGAAGTTGCATTCCGTGCTCTGCTTCGGTCTCTGCGTATCCGGCTCTGAGCTCAGCTCGCAGTCACCTTTTCACTGGGGGAACAGGGCGGTACAGTAAGCCCTTGCTGCGAATGCCCCTTTCAGCATGGCTGCTCTTGGTCTCATGCCAGCCACATAGTTTATGGCTATATACTTTCTAGTTTACTTATTTATTTTTCCCATGAGTGAGTGAGAAGGAGAGGGAGAGACGAAGAGACAAAGACGCAGACTGGCTGGGATCCCGGGGCTGCAATCCACCCCAGCTTCAGGCAGCTGGAACTAGGCAGGGGCATCCCTGTGTGCTGGGCCGTCTCTGGATGCAAACCCAGAAGGTCCCACGTGGAACAACTGTGTCTCAGATTCTACCACTGCACCATCACTCGGCTCCCATTCACACGGCTTATATTTAACAGCTTAGATTAAAAAGAAAATAAAATGGCTTTGTGGAATAGTGGCATATTTGACTAGAAAGAGTGGATAAAAAGCCATGCGCAGTGAGGGCAACTGAAGAGTCAGACAGAAGCTGCGTGAAGACACGGGTTTGGCTATGGCGAAGGGCCGTACAGATACCTACCGGTGACGGTGAGGAATGCGGTGGCCACCACCAGGCCGAAGGGGTTCCGAGCCACGCAGTCGTATTGTCCTTGGTCCGCATGGCCCGCGTCATAGATGGTCAGCGTGCCTCCGTCCATGCGGAACTTACCGCTCTCCGTAATCTGCACACCTGCCTGGGCAGTGCGACAGAGCTGTCACTGGGGGAGCGTGGTTCCTCGAGAAGTAAAGTCGCTACTCCACAAACGTCAACAGGCTGCGTGCGTGAGTCAGGCCCTAGGAGAGGTGTTCGACAAACCCCGTGGGGAGAAGGCGGAAGGAAGCTCCTGGGAAACCTTTGGTTCCCTCCCTCTGAGTATATCCGCATGCTAGAGTTCGCTCGTGCGTTCTTTATTATGATTATTTTAAGAGGCTTACTCTGATGGATGGATAGATATAATTTACTCGTACACTGCTTGCTTCCCAAATGGAATTCTGACAACAGAAAAAAATCAACAAGAAGAAAAATAAAAATGCACCACTTGAGAACATCGAGGTGTTCCCACTTTTCTGCTCCCCCCCCTCTTTCCACCGCTTGTACAGCTAGGGTGTCTGAGTTTCCAAGTTAAAATTCTCCTTTAAGAAGATAAACGACTACATGTCACATGAATTATTATTTCTTCTAAATTTATTCACCTACATATTAAGGAAGAAAGAGACAAATAGGTCCCCCAACCAGGTCTCCACACTGCATGGCCACCGCCCCGGGCCCAGCCAGCCTGAACAGATGCAGAAGCCCCAGTACGCCGCTGTCTCAGGACCCAAACCAAGACCCTGCCACCCCGGGCACCCAGTTGTGTCACCTCTGCACCACCACCTGCCCCGAACTATTACGAAAATCCACCCATTTACTAGTAGTACAAATTGGTGTATCTTTTTGTAATTGGGGAGTTTGTTTTAGACAGTAAAAGAAATTGGCCTTATGAGCTTGCAGCAGGACTGGACTCAGAGCAGAGCTGCTTCTGCCCGACCCTAAAAGACTCCTGGGGGTCCCCTGTGATGACTAACAGGCCGGAATGTAAGCAGAAGTCTCAGAGTGAAAGGGACAGCTCACAGGTCTCCTGGTTCCCTCCACTCGGACAGCTCACAGGCCTCCTGGCTCCCTGCACTGAGACAGCTCACAGGCCTCCTAGTTCCCTCCACTCGGACAGCTCACAGGCCTCCTGGCTCCCTGCACTGAGACAGCTCACAGGTCTCCTGGTTCCCTCCACTCAGACAGCTCACTGGCCTCCCCTTTCCCTGCACTCAGACAGCTCACAGGCCTCCTAGTTCCCTCCACTCGGACAGCTCACTGGCCTCCCCTGCACTGGGACAGCTCACAGGCCCCTTGGCTCCCTGCACTGTCTTTGATCAGTGCTAGAAAACCAGTCCCAGGTGCTGTGGGTGGTGACTCAGGGAGGGGAGGGAGGATGCAGCAAGGACCTCCGGGCGGGAGGGCAGATCTGAAAACACCGGACTGGGGTTGTGCTTGAGCGGCCAGTACACAGGCAGCAGGCCAGAGGGTCTTTCCTGCAGAACGGCCCCGCTGCCCCATCTTCCCGAAGATTTTCCTTCCCCTCCCTTCTCCTCAGTTACCGCCAGAAACCCCAGCCTGAGGTTACAGCTCTGTAATATTTGCTTAGTGTTTGAGTCATCAGAGAGCTTTCCAGTACATTTCTGATGGGCTTCTCTTCGGTCAGCTCTGCTGCTCCTAAGGAAGGTATGCCAAGTCATGCCTTTCCACACTTGTGCACGGGAGAAGGTTGGTACGAGGGTGAGATGAGCCACGGGTGGAAACGCGGGTACATAGCCAGCCTTCCGTCAGTCTGCCACCTGAGGCTGCCTCTCAGAAAGTCGGCCGAGTTTACTGATATGATGATGCTAGGAAGCATTTAGAATGTCAAGTGAGCCTTTAGATATTGACCAAAATATGTATTTTTTAAATTCCTATTTAGCAGAAAAATCTTTGAGTATTTAATACTAAATTAAAAAGGGGTTCAGGGCCAGCAGGTGGTGTGGTGGTTAAGATGCTATGTTCCCACATGACGACCAGAGTTTGGATTTGGTAGCTTGAAAATCATGCTGGGCACATATACATGCTTGCCTAAAATTCCAAGAAAGTGGGGAAGAAGGGATTTCTGCATGGCCAACCCGCTAGGGGGTGATGTCTCACTTTCTCTCTCTCTGTCTCTCTCTCTGGCAAAAACCTAAAAACAAACAAGCCAGGGGTTCTAAGTACCATTCAGACTGTGAGAGGGCCTGGGCCTCTCGGGGGGCCAGGCTGGCTCTCTCAGAGCTGCCTGTGACACGCAGCCATGGCACTCGGGAAGACACGGGCGCCAAGACTCATTGCTGTTACTCCACGGTGACGACAAAAATCAGACAAGAGGTTTTGGAAAGAGCTTTGTATTCTTTCAAAACTTTTGTATTTTCTCAAAATTTTCCATAAAATTTTCCATTCAAGTGTGTGTAGATTTGTTCATTTTTTTAAAAAAAGTCTATTTATTTATTTCTTCCATGAAAGAGAGGCAGAGTGCCAGGCACGGTCCTCACATCGTGACCCGCACCCAGCCTCAGCCAGCCAAGACCACAGGCACGTGTGCGCACCCTCGGCACACGGAGGGACACGCTGGGATGGGCCACCCGGGGGCATTGCCCTGCACCACCTCTAGGCCCCAAGTGGCTGATTTAAAAGGACAGTAGAATCTGAGTTGGTTCATTTTATTTTTATTTAAAAAAAAAAGAAAAGAAAAAACCTTAAAAGAAGCAATTGCATTGAAAGAATACGGCTCACAGAACCAGAGGAAGTAAGATATATAAATAAAGAACTATTATTTCTTTCAAGCCGCTCAAGTTTCGAGCCTTTGGACGTTCTTTTCTTCCGTGTCCTTTCAAAACCAAGCTCTTCATTCCTTTCTTGTTTCAGCTAATGACCTACTTTGAGCCCATGTTTCAGTTACTAATTCAAAATGTCTCTTTCCCATGGCTAAAACTCTTCATTTGTATATGACAAAAGCTATTTTTATTTTTATTTTTATTTGACCAGAGAGGAACAGAGAGAGAGAGAGAGAGAGAGAAAGCAAGCTGCCAGGGCTTGAACTCGAACCTCAGTCAGTGATGTGGTAGCCCAGTACCCTTAACCACCATGCCACCTGCTGGCCCCCAACAAAAGCTATTTTTTCTTAAAGGAATTTAGTTATGCTTACAACGTTTTTCCAATCAAGCAAATGAGAAAGGATAAACTTTATCAAATCCTTGAGCCAAAAATCAGATGCAGTCACTTTAAAAAAAAAAAAAAAAAAGCAGAAAACAAACCTGCTGCAGCACAAAAAAATATTACTGGCTCGCAAAAATCATGTGGCAGTCAGTCAGTGCGAGCAGTGCGCATCGTTCCTGCTCCTCTGTTTCAGCGGGTCGGTACATCTGCCCGCGCTCCAGGCGGGGCTGCGCTTCTGGGTGAGCGCTTACCTTATTCCAGGGAATCGCGGCCGCAGTTGTCCCAGAGCCTGGCAGGAGAGGCTGGCGTCCTTTCCGGCCTACACGCTGACACCCTACGGCAGGCAGGCCAACTCCGGGAGGCCTGCCGAAACAACCCGAATCACACCGTGTCAGCCAAGTCAAACAGCATCAGCCCAGATGAAGTATTGGTTTACTACATTGGTTTTTAAAAAACCTCCAGTATGTGGAAATGTGGGGACCAGTCCTCATCAAACCTAGGTGGGCAATGATGACAGGAGAAGCGCCGGGACACAGGGAGAGGCGCTCAGGAGCCGGCTGGTGCCGTCCTTACCCTTCAGCGGAAGTGCGCGTAAGGACGCTCATTGCTTTTCCTCGGCCTTTCACAGCTGAAGTAAGACTGTACAGCAACCTCAAAAGGGTATTTCTGGCCAAGACAAAGAGAATCAGTTTTTAAGTAAAAACAAACATCGTTTAAGAATATTCATTCATGTTTTCCATAAGCAGGAAACTAAGAGAAAGGCAGACAGGCAGAGACAGCACCCCTTCTAGGATCCTGACGCCACAGGCCACCCTCAGCTTCGGCAAGTCTGATCACAGGCACGCACGCACCCCCACACTCAGGGAGGTCCCCAGACCCCTGTGGACCAGCCTCGCCAGCGTCAAGGTTTATTGCTGTGTCACCGTCTGCTCCCCCTGAAAGTCTTAGTTTCTTAAAACACGAACTATCACGACTTTCCTAAAACGAAATAAGTAACTTTATAACTATTAAAGAAATTGAACTCCTAATCTTTAAAACGCCTCAAAAAAGAAATATCTAGGACAAAATTAAAATCACTTTACTAGGGAATTCTACCTAATATTTTTTGAAAACATCAGTTGTATACAAGGTCTTTTATAAAATAAGAAGAGGGAATATTTCTTGACTTTTTTTAGGAGGCTAAGGCTAATATGAAAATGAGATCAATTCTGTACCAAAAAGAAAAAAAAAAAACAAATGCTATCAACCAATACCTCTCGTAAACACATACACGAAAATCATCACGAAGTATTGGAAAGTAGAATTTATTGATATAAAAGGGTTTATACTTCACACTAAGTAAGGTCTATTCCCAGGAAGCAAGACTGGCTCAATATTTGAAAATCGATCCTATAATCTGCCATGTGTACAGCTGAAGAAGAAAAGTCACATAGTAATATCGATCAATGAATGGAAAAGAGCCTGTATTCAATGCTCACATACGATTTTCAAAACCTCTCAGAAATAGAGGAGAATTTGGGGAAAAAGAAAAAGAGCACAGGGACCAGCAGTTAGTGTAATGGCTATGTCGCTGGACTCCCATGTAGTGTAGTCGACCACAGTTCGAGTCCCAGACCCAATGGCTTAAAACAAGCTGGGGGTGTGTGCGTGCGTGCCCAAGATCCCGAGAGGAGAATGGAGGAGAAGGGATTGCGGCGTGGCCATCCCCCCTGGGGGGTGATTTCTCGCTTTCTGTCTCTCTGTCTCTCTCTGTCTGTCTGGTGAGTGCACGCGCCCTATAGCAAAAACCTCTCCAAAAACAAACAAACAAACAAAAAAAGAGCACATACAAAACATACAGTAAACAAAAAGTAAGGGCTTCCCTCAGAAATGGGCCAAGTAAGGATGTCTACTGTCTCCACTCTCAGCACGGTGCTGGATATTCACTTCGGCATAATATGGCAAGTAAAGGGCTTAGCAGGCACACAGAGAAGAGGAACCGAAGCAGACCTTGTTTGGAGAGGACGCCATTGTCTGTGTAGGAAGTCCTAAGAAATCTTAAAATAGTCTAAAGTGAGATCAGCAAGATCACAGTGTACAAGATAATGTCAAAACAAGCAAAACAAATTAAAAAGCTGTATGTACGCAGCGAGTATATGAACACAGAAACTTCAACGAAGGTTATCTTCTACATGGGCCAGCAGGCGGCATGATGGTTAAGGTGGCTGGATTCCACGTGGCCAACTGCCTGGTTCAGGTCATGGATCCACTGGCCTCAAAAACATTCAGAGCATATGTGTATGCATCCGTGCTGCCCAAAATCCCGAGGGGAGAATGGACAAGGAACTGTGCCATGGCCTTCACCCTTGAGGGGTGATTTCTCTCTATCTCTTTCTCTCTTTGTTTCCAAGAGACACGTCTATGGCTGAACTAAAAACCAAACAAAGAAACACACACACACACACACAAAAAAAAAACACATAACCTTTTACAATTTCTAGATGTAAATCTAACAAAACACATACAGGACTTCTATGCTGAAAACCACAAAATATTGTTGTAGAAATAAGAGAGATCTTTTAAAAATGAATAGACATCTATTCATGGGTTAGAAGACTCAGCATACAATGTCATTTTTATTTCACTAATTGATACACAAGTTTAATATAATTCCCATTGAAATCCCAGCAGGATTTTTGTTCAAAATATAAGATTATTCTAAAATTTATATAAAAATGCAGAGGAACATGAATAGCTAAACAATTTTGACAAAAATAAATAAATAAGGGGAGAAGAATCAGCCTACTCAATTTTCAGACTGACTATATCGCTGTACTGATCAAAAGCAGGAATTGAGGAAGGGTAGACATAGACACGCATGTCAATGAGACATGTCACAGACCCACACAAATAACCAGGTGATTTTGACAAAGATGCGAAAGCCATGCAATGGAAGCTTGACAACAAGCAGTGCTGGAGGAATTGCACAACCACAAACAAAAACAAAAACCTTTACTTAAGTCTCGTACTTTATACAAAATTAATTAACTCAAAGTGGACAATAAATTTAAATATAAAATATAAAACTTTTAGGGGAAAAAATGACATAGGAGAAATTATTTGGAAACTAAGGCAAGACAAAATTTTTTTACTGTTCTTAAAAAAAAAAAAAAAATACAATCCGGACCCGGCAGGTGGTGTCAAGTTTAAGGGCACTGGACACCCACATGGCCGACCACAGTTCGAGTCCCAGATCTGGTGACTTGCTTTCTCACTTTCCTTCTCTCTCTCTTCTTCTCTGATAAATTAAAATAAGTAAATAAATAAAAACTAAATAAAACAACTCTTAAAAAATACAATCCATCAAAAAACCGATAAACTGTAGTTCAAAGTTTAAAATTCTGTGCTATAAAAAACTATGCTGAGAGTTTAAAAAGACAAGTTATAGACAGAAAGACAGGATTGATGAGCTACATATGCAACAAAGGATTAGTAACCAATACATGTAAAGACCCCTAAAAATTCAACAGAAAAAAAAAATCAGTTCAAATAGAAAATGGGAAAAAGACATGATAGGGTACTGAAGAGGATGTGCAGAAGGATAGATCAGCATGTGAAAAGCTTCTCCACATCAATAGTGATTAGGAAAATACAAGTTACAATCACTAGGAGACAGAGCTATACAGCTATACAGCTATGAAGATGTAAACTAAAAAGACAGTGACAACACAAATTGCTGTCGAGGACACAAAGAAACAATCACTCGTACATTTCTGTAGGGATATGAAATGGTCCCACTATTCTGGAAAAGTCTTGAAATTGTAAATTTGCAGCTATCATACAATCCAGCATTTGCACTCTAGGCTATTTATTCCAGAGAAATGAAGATCTAGATTTACTCAAAATCCTACGCGTGTTTGTAGCAGCTTTCCTGATGACAGCCTGAAAATGGTAGCGACCTAGATGTCTACCCCTCTACACAAATGGTTAATCAGTCCGCTGGGTCATGCCATGGTTGCCGCTCCACAAGGAAAACGAGGAACTACTGACACGTAGGCTGTCTGGATGCATCTTCAGGTAATACGCTGAGTGCAAGAGCCTATCCCGAAAGGTTGCATGCAGTATCTCTCTATTTATATAACATTTGTTAAGAATTACTTTATTTAACTTTATCTATTATTTTATTTTGACCAGGGAGAGACAGCGTGAGAGAGGGAAAGGGAAAGTGAGAAAGCAAGCCTCCAGGTCCAGGACTCAAACCACCATCAGCCATATGGTAGTCCAGCGCCCTTAACCACCACTCCACCTGCTGGCCCCTATGTAACATTTCTGAAATAACAAAATCATAAAATGGAAAACAAATGAGCAGTTACCAAGGTCTTAGGAGATGAGGCATTCAAGGTGTCAAGAACCGGAGGGAAGTGGGGCATGGTTCTAATAGGGCACCCGAGGAGTCTGGCAGCGACAGGAGCTCTGTACCTGGCTGTGTGGTGCTGCTTCCCTGGCTGTGTAACACTGCAGCTGTGAGCAGGGTGTCCACTGGGGAATGTGAAATGGAATCTCTGTGATTCCTTATGACTAAATGTAAATCCACAATGACCTCAACATTTTAAAAAATGTAATTAAAATAAATCAATTACATATACATGCCAGGGACTAGCACACACCCGGCCTAAGCCTGGATTGGTGACGCCAGGCTGGAGTTGGGAGCATGCAGTGCCACAGTGCCGCAGGGATGACGCTCGGGTCTCTGTAAGGCCACCCGCGTGGGAGGGTGGCAGGTTTGAAACGAGATCGTCCTGAGGACAGCAGGCACACACTGGGCTCCGAGCCATGTGCACAGGGAGCCTGAGCCAGCACGGCTGACCCCATTTAAACCTGGCCCTAGTGGCTCTAAGAGCACACTCCAACACACGTGCTTGTGTTCAAATCGTAATGGGATGGGGAAAAGACGAAAAAGGATCATGGTGTGACTACCCCAGGGGTGCTTCCTCTCCCTCTGCCTCTCTTTTTCTGTTTCCGATACACATATACACCTTCTGGAAATTAAAAAAAGGAAAAGGACTAACGGTCTTTGAGGATATTGGAAATGTTTGTTTATTCAATTGAGTTGTGGGGACATAAGGTCTTTCATTATGTTTTTCTTGTGCCTTTTTTTGCACTTGTGAAAAAAATATGGAAAGTAGCATCAAAAATGTATTACTAAAATAAAAAGATTCTGGGACCAGCAAGTAGTGAAGGCAGCTGGATCCCACATGGCCAACTGTGTGGCTCGCATCCCTCATCTGGTGGCTTGAAAAACATGCCAGACACGTATGTGTGTGTCCTCCAAAATCCCGAGAGGAAATGGAGATGGGATTGCGGCATGGCCATCCTCCCTCGGG